GAAACGGCGACTAACGGCAGCTGGCAGAGCATCAATCAATGCAGTTGCAGTTGCAGTTGCAGTGGCATCCACGTTGTCGTGGGAGGGGAATCCCGGAGTGCAGCTAGCTGCCAACTGACCTTGCAATAAGGAAGTGACATCCGTCACTGTCTCTACCAAAAGCAGCGGCAGAAAAAGTGCACTGCCAACAAAAGCATTTAAAAGCCAATGAAATCCGATATTACTCACAATGGGTTCTAAATTTTTATATCTAACAATATAACTTCTTAATGATTTTCTGTAAATAGAAAAAAGTACTTTGCTAGTCACATCATATAAATTTAAATGGGAAAATGCTGTTCATGAAATTCATTGGCTGTAAAATATGGTTTTAAATACTATATATCTACCAGAACTCATATCCCCTAATTTTTATATTATATGGAGAATTTAATTACCTTACTAGAACCGAAAGTAAATTTAAAATCCTTGTAAATGGTCAAACGAATTTTGAAAACTTATTTTGTATTAAAAACAAAATATAAGCAAAATAATAGGATTTAGTTTGATACTAATAATAATAATTATTTCTATCTTTATTGAATTTTGTATCTCAATTACTCATTATCTTCAACATCATTCCTTACTTTTATTATTAAACTATGAAAATATTCTTCATATTTTTTAAGGTGGAGTTGCAGAAGTTTCCGTGTGAATGCCCCATCTCAGTTATGCTGGGCAATTAGTCTGGAGTGGGCCGAAACCTCAGTTTTCGTTCTGTTCTTCCAGCTCTAACCCATCTGGTCCCTCCATCTGCTGGCTTCTAATGAGCACAGCCTCCGTCCGGCTTACATCTTTTAATTTATTTATTTTTAATATGCCGCACACTGCACTCAGTCGAGCTCCTCGCCGCCGTCCGCCAAATTTTACAACTCAATAAATTGGCAAAGGCTTTTCTATCTCTACGCTCCAATCATATGTTGGCAGTATGGTGTGCGCGCAATTATTGTTCTAACGGCATTTCAAAGCAATTTAGTGCCGCCTTTTTGGGTGGGCAGCAGTCCAATGACCGCGGTCCGAACTGCATTGTCTGCCTCGGAGCTCCCTCTATATATACATATATATATATATATATATCGAAGCTCCCAACTTCAGCTCGAAACTCCAATTTGAGGCTCTCTGTCTGCGTGCGCCGCCAGCAAACTTCCATGTCCATGACTTTGGCTACAAAATTCCGACTCTGACTATGGCAATAGGCCGCCGCACACAAAATCATCAACATAAATTTACTTTTAGTGCGTTGGGCAGACAGGGGGAAATGTTTGGGGAATGGGTGTTGAAACTCATAAAGAGAAGCGCCGCTTTTGGCCATAAAATTGACAGCTTATGGCCGGAAAATTGATAAACAAAAACAATGGACAATTTAAACCGAACTAAAACTATTCATTACGATCGATAATATTGATACAGCCAGATGTCCTATACTAAAAAGTTTTAATTTTATGCAATTATGGTAGTTAAATAGGATACTTAAAACGATCCGTTCGACTTACATTCTTATTTTATTTTTGTTTTTCATTAACAAATTTAATCATATTCTTAAAACTTTTAATATTTAAAAAAAATATATTTAAAATGTTACAAATATAATCTTTGGAAATTAAAATATTGTTAAAATCCCGTTCATAATAATATGTTATGTATATGATTTAATTTAATACGAACCAACTAACGAGTTAAAATTAAAAAGTAATGTAACATACGCCGTATTGCTTTTCTTTTTATTCTGACATTTTTAAATATTATTATTTAAAAGTATATATTTTTTAATTTTGTTATTTTTATCAGCTTATGTTTATTTATTTTTTAAATATTTTAAAATTAAAAATTGATTTAGTTAACTTATATCTATATTTAATTATATATATGTGAATTTTATATGACGGAAACTTGATACTTACTTCTTAATATTCATGAAATAAAATAAACTATTTAGAAAGTGTTTCGCTATTTAAATATTTTTACTACCAATACTATTATTTAGTAATGGATTGGCACTCCCTCCGTTCGTTCTTCATTATATCTCCTTCTGATAACGCTTTTAACTTTTTAATTTATGCATTTAGACCAATTTGTGGGCCTCAGCACCTATTTGTGGTTTTAATTATTTTCTAGTTCTATTTTCTTTCTAGCCACTTATCAAGCTTGAGCTAATTTGTTGAGCGCTGAGGTAAAGAAATTTTTAATGAATTTCTTTTATTCACCTCTCTTTCTATTTAGAATATGCCATCCAAGGGGGAGAAAGAGATGGAATCGGCGGGCAAAGCGGCGTTAAATGTTTCCCTGGCAGTTTGGCACCGCGGCCGGAGTACCGTTGTTTGTTGTGCGTTATGGTTTGTTGATTGCCGGCGACAACTTCCGACGCACTGCGGCAACGGCGGCAACAACAGCAACAGCAGCAACAACAGCAACAGCAGCAACAACAACAGCAACAGCAGCTACAGCAGCAACAGCGGCACCAACAGCAACATCAACAACAAGAACCACCCAAAACTGGACGCTCCATTGCGGGTGGTGGTCGTCGAGTGGTTTTTCATGCCCGTTCTGGTTCGGAGTTCGCCATTCTTTGGGGAACCACAGAAAACAAAAAAATAAAAGAACAGAAAAATAACCAAAAGAACAGGGTTAGTTCTAACCGAAAGGCATGCCGAAAAGTGTATTTAATTTAGCAGTTAATTAAATTTTCTACACTTCGAAATCCCCCGTTCCACTCCCTAAAAATATAAAAAATTCTTATGCTCCTCTTTTGTTTTAATAACTTTGATTGGTTGCGCACAGCCCGAGGCGAAGTTTGTGGTCTCGCCGGCCTGGCGGGGGGATATGGCCATAAAAAAGGAAATTGGTAGAGATGACAACACCTGCTAATGACCCAAATTGGCGACTGCAGCAAAACGATGGAAAAGCTAATGGGCAACACCTGCTGTTTGCATAATTTTATTGCCTGTTTCGCTCCCCTTTGATTCCCCAGGGTTGTTCTCATTTTCATTAATTGGAATTTCTTTGGTCCGACTTGAATCCCACAGTTTATAACCCGGTGGTTTGGCTTGCTTCGGCTTCTTGTCTTTTGTCGCGCTTGAATTGCTACCCGTAAACAACAGGGGAAAAGCCATCAAAGGAAACAATGGACAAATGAATTAATAAAGTTATGAAATCACCAAAATGGCTAAGAAAAAGGTTCACAATCGAACCGTGTTCAATACCAATTTTATTTTTGGGTGTGGAGGCATTGAGTGGGGAGTGGGAGTGGGGCCAAAACAGTAGCCGGAAAACAATTCAATTGTTTCGATGAAGTAATTACAATTTGTGAAAATAATTGAGGCCAGCGATTTGAAAGCAAGGGGGAATATGTTTATCTGTCACAATTCCAGTGGGTCAAGCCAAAGCTTGTCTTGGATTAAGCGATTCAATTAAATGTGTTTTACTGAATCGATTTTCAATTAATTCATTCAAGATAGATGACATAACAAAACATATAAACCTAGTTTAATACCATCTGGGATACTTGCCCTAGGGACTTTGAATTAATCAAGTTAGATAGATATATAATGTCTGTATGTGCTTTAACCTATATACCTGTTAATTAAACCCAAGAGGCAACATTTATTTATTTCATTGTAATAAAAACCGTTATTACCAATTTTCTGAAACATTTTCGTTTTTATTGGTCTTTATTTTTTATGTCTAGGTCAAAATGACAAATTATTAACCATAAGCGAAGTCTAATGCATTAAATTTGAGCGACTAAATTACAAATGTTTATTAAATATATTAATTTAGTAATTAATAATACCTCAATTGGTTTATAAAATTGTATTCAAATTTATAAAAATCTATTTTTATGGTATATAAATTAATACTTTTAATTCAAAACGTTTTACAACAATAAAATAATAATATACATTTAAAAAGATATGATAAAATATATTGTCTAAAATCAAATAGTCGCAATCCCTGAATAATTCGCGTAATATTGTTTATCCCCGAAATGTTACGAAAAGTTTTACTACTTGACAAATTGCTAATCAATATCCTCTTAAATGCACTGTAAGCCCCAAAAAAGCAGGAACCAATCAAGCCAAGTGTTTCGAGTGCCCCAAACTTTGGCTAATTGTTGCATTGCACTTAATGAAGTCATCAATCGGGGTAAAACTATTTCGATTTATTTCCCCGCCAGCAACTGCAAACGAGAAGAGTGAAAATTTGACTCAATTTGGGCAAACACTTGAAACTGTTTATTTATTTATTTGCTTATTTATCAACACGCCATGGCAACCACCCACTAACTGAAAGAGGCGGCTCACAAGCCACCACGGAAGTTGAGAGAGTGTGTGTGTTGGCCAAGTCACAGCTGTTTTGCCGGTATAACAGTATGACACGTAAAAAAGGTAAACAAACCGGCTGATGCAGTTTTACTTCCGTCGAAGAGCGAGTGAGTTTTCCAACTAAGAGAGCGGGCCAAGAGCCGAAGAGAGGCTCAAAAAAGGCCAAGTCATTTGAAGGGATTTAAAAAAGAATTCGGAGTTCGGAGCTAATTGCCTTCATTTGTTTGGCTGTGGCCACAAATGAATTGCCTTGGATTTTTGGCTCTAGGCCACATTGAACCAAATCTACTACTATTTTCTACTACTATTCGTGGGCAAAAGAGCAACAGCTGGAGGGGGTTGGTGGGCAGAAGGGGGCCCTGTAAGCCGAAGCCTTCGACTTCGGGCCATGCCGGCGATGCACGAAAACCAGTTCGTGGCTAACTCTTCCTCTTCTTCTTGGCCAACAACGCTTCAGTCGCGAGCGTTTTTTGTTTGGCATTTCAGTTGAGCTTTGCCAGCCGAACGAAATAGTCGAATACGACGCTGCGTTTCTTTGCGTGTTGGTTTTCCCAATCCAAATCTCTCAATTCGTGTCCGCGCTACTGAAAACTGAAAACCCAAAGAAGCAGCAATATCACTCGCAGCAGCAGCCGCCGCAGCAGCAACAGCTACAGCAGCAACATCACTCGTAGCAACAGCAGCAGCAGCAGCAACAAAATCAAAACACGTTTTACTCCCGCACATTGAAAACGGTAATTTGAACCCAAAAACAGAAAGCAAAACAAAATTGTTGAATTAATTATAAACGGTAGCCTGTTTTTGAAATATGTATTTATTTTTGCCTGACATTTTTAGGCAAACATTTTAAGTGTTTAATAACTGGAGAAATTAAAGCCAGTGTGGCCCGGAGTGTGTGTGTGTGTGTGTGAGATGGCTGCCTTCTAAACAGCCTTGAAAGCTGGCTCGCAGCCTCTGTCAACCGAATAGTTGCTGCTGCAACAACAGCAGCAACATCTAGCGACAGCAGCAGCAGCAACAACTGGCAACAAAAGGCTGGCAGCAAGTCACAACAAAAGAAAACAGAAGCGGCAGCTGACTTTATGACGTCGCCAGGCCTGGCGTGTTAACCTGGCCAAGAGCAGCTACCTTAGCTACCTGGCTAGACATGAAAGCTTGTGGTGTCTATCTGTTGCAACTGCAACCTAAGCGCTCACCAACACACGCGCCCACTAAGCCTAGACTAAACACACACTAATGCACATGTGGAATGAAATTCGCTTTTGTTTTATGATTTTCATAAATTCTTCAACAGCAAACAAACGAAAAAAGTTTATATTAAAAAGAAGAAAATAGCTAAAAGCGCGCAAAAAAAAAGAAAAGAAAAAAGTTCCTGTGTGTGCGAGTGGAAAAACCGGTTGCAGTTAAGGTTCCCGACTCGCTATGTGTGTGTGTGCGTGTGTTTGGCTTTTTTCGCTTGGCACAGGGCGAAAATAAATAAAAGCGATTAACTTGAGACAGTTTTAGTAGCCACTGTCCGAGAGTGTGCAGGGACTCTCGCTAGCCCTAGATATAGCCTTAATCCCCCCGGAATCCATCGGGGAATTAGAGTGACTGGGGAAGCAGGGGGAAAGGGGGGAGAGAGTTAGCCAAGTAGAAAGGAAAAATTGCAGACATTTGCTTACCGGCAGATTTTTTCATAATTTATAGGGCTTAAGCTTCGGTTGTTTGAGTAATTTAATTTCTATCATCATTTATTTATTTAATTTCATTTTTATTGATTATTTAATGGCCTGAGATAAAGTTCCTCCAAATTGTATTATTTTCTTTGTGAGTGTCTAATAATTTATGCCATCAACCATATTTATGCCTTTATTTATCAAAATATTAATAGGCATATAACTATTTTCTTGCTCTTGGCCTTATTTTGTGGTTCTTAGCTATTTATATAATAATTTTACTTATAACCAAACAAGTATAAGCTTATATCCTTATATTATTTGTTGTTCCCTTCTTAAACTTATACTTTATTCATTCCTTATTGATTTTTTATTTCTATCTTTATTTGCAGCATAAACAAGGATTTAATTCCCAATCGAAAACCAAATAAATTGGTTTATAATTTCCATAAATATTTGTGCTTGTGTTTTTTGAATGAAAGTGTGTAACCCAAAATATGGAAATTTCGTTTATAAATATTGATGTGTTTTATTGAATATTTGTGTCTTTTACTTTGAAGTCGGTTTCGTTATTGTGTCGATATTTTGCATTATTAATTACAATTTACGTTCATCAAGTGGAAGCAATCACAATAGATTGAAAGACAATTTCAAAATAAGGAAAACATCGGAACTGAACAAAGTGAGTTTATATTATGATAAAATGTGCACAGCAACATTTCATCCCGAAATATTTAAACTGTGACTAATTAAAACCCTCACTGATAATTTCCCTTCACCTTTAATCTCCTGGGGGCATTTAAGTAAATTTGCCAAAATTTCAATTTAAATTTGCAATTAAATTGGATTGTTTTGCATCTCATTTGCTCCCTCATTTCTGGTGTAATGCTATCTAATCAGCATCTTTCAATTATTTAATCGTTTATATTTACACTCTCACACTCACTCACGGCACCTCAATATATATTACCCATACGACATGGTAGCCCAGAGAAACGTGCTCGGCATACTCGAGTGGGGCAAATCAATTAAAGTCTCTGTTTTACGACTGCACTAACTAAATGATGATGCTTGCCGTTTTAAACTCATTTCAAAGGAGGGTGACGCGCCTCCGAAATCTCCCCAAACAAATATCAACAAACGCGTGCAACATTTGCATAAACTCCCGCTGCTCTTTATTTATTTCTGTTGTTGCGCTTTCATCGATTTATGTTTTGGCCAACTCTCGAATATTCAAAAGCCAATTGGGCAAAGCTTTTTGCAAAATATGCAAATATAGCGTCGAATAATATTTTTGTTTAACAATTTGGTTGGCATTTTATCTGTTTTTGTCGCATTTTGTGGCAATTAAATGACAGCGAATTAATCATAAAAAAGGCGTAAAATTTTATGCACAACATTTATTCGCCAGCTGTCGATGCGGCACGGAAGGTACTACACATAAATATAAGTCGTTTGATGAGTACAGATAGATCTCCAAAGTGTTCACTTAAATTTCCAGTAAAAAGTAACATCGTAAACTACGACCTAAGTTTATGCCTTGCCCAATAAACTAAATAATTTTTTTGATTGCTTAAGTTTAATAATATGCAACATTTCGTATTTGCTCTTTAAGAATTATACCGCACTGTATCACTGATTGTGTAGATGAAAATATGTGTACAAATGATGCACGTGGGCATTCGTTGGCTTAGGTCGAATCAACTTGATTTATGTAAATTGGAAACTGTTCGCATAGCAAAACAAAGTTATAATTGAGAGACGAGATTAAAATGCATTTTTCTATTGACTGCCGTGCAGCAGCAACATACATGGGCTTATAATTTTCCCACTTGACAAACAATACATTTCCGTATAAATGAATAGAAAATTTAAGTGAATTTGGAAATTGAACTAACTACTGAAATATTTTTGACTGAAGAGTCTTCATTTCTTCCAAAAATTCCTTTGCCGCCACAACTTTGCGGTAATCCCCAATGGAGATTCGACTCAGCTGGACCAAAAATATTTTCCACTTGAATGGCGGAACAGAAATGCAATTAAAATCCACTAAATGCAGCAGTTGGTGGGCGGATTTATTCCGAATGAAATTGCAACTTCCCTCTCTCCCTGCTTTCCCTTTTGCAGCTAATTAATTTGGCATTAATTTTAATGCAATTTGCTCGCTTATCTCAAATGCCAATAAATCAACACGGGAATCGGATTCCCATAATTCCAAATGCAATACATAACTCATATTTGTTCTTGGTATGAGGTTAATTAAGAAAAAAATGAATACTGTTCGAAGAAAAACAAAAAGGCTAGGGCAAAAAATAATGAATAATTTGCGTAGATCAGGAATTGAAGCATTTCTGCCCTGTCGAGTGTTAAATTGAAGATAATTTTTAATTATGGCCACAGTCGGCCCAAGCGCTCACGTTAAATTGCCTTTTAAAATTCAATTTACATTTTGGTTTTGCTTTTCCCTAAAGGGTTCGGTTTGGGGTCTCTGGTCCAGGTATCATTAATTTGCGAGGGCCTAAAGAAGAGTTTACTATTAATAAATGTTATTGGATACCAAAGCAAAATAATTATTTTACTTAGAGTACATTGATTGCTTGCCTTTAGGGAATAATAAACGATGGGTTTTAATAGTAAATTACTAAAACAACATTTTTTTAGTGGTAAAAACATTAAAAATGTTATTAAATTTAAAGGCGTATTTTTGTTTTTTAATTTTTTACATATTTTTTAATCATTAATATTTAATAAAACTTATTCAATTCATCAATTAGTTTACAATTTTGCAGTTACATTTAAATTTATTTCAATGATCTTTTTATATTATTATATTATTATATTTTTCATTTAATAAATAAAACTAACCAAAGTTTTTGCGATTTTGGGTGACACAAATGTTATTTTTTCAAAATGTTTTGTATAAAAAAAATTTTCATTGATTTGTTTTCAAAACTTTTTCAACTTCCCCCGCCAAAATCTGATGGTCTAGAGTGCGACCTGGAAACCGGAGTCGGGCAGAATAAAAACAATTACACGCATGTGCGTAAGACTTTGGTAACTTCGGGGCTGGGGCAACTGGAGACCTGAAGATCTTTGGATCTTGAGCACTGGGGTATGGGGTATGGGGTCTCTCCCCCTCTCTGTCTTTCGGCCATCCCCCATCCATCGCTCTCCTTCTCTACAGGAAGCTGCGTGGCTTTGGCATTTAAAAACGTATTAATTTTGACGCGCCAGCCCGTAGTTGTTGTTTGTGGTTGTTGCGTGAGCCGACACTGATGATGGTATCTGTATCTGAATCTGCGGCCATGTCCGATGCCTATGCCCCGGCATTGTATCGGAGGTTCTCCCGATGAGAGGAGTGATATAAATGCGAATAAGTTACGTCAATTTTTGTGTGTGTCTGGCCTGGCCGTTGGAATACTTTATCATTTCGTTTTTGTTCTTCCTACCTTCCTACTCCTCCATCTCCAACGCCCCTTCCTCGAACTCCCCCTCCGCGCTGTTATTCAGGTTCTTTTTCTGGTATTCGCTATGCGAAGGTCTACAACCTTGGGAGAGTTAAGTCAGCTTTACTGGAGCTGGCTGTCACTTCAACTCCAGCGATATAGGAGATTTCCCCTTGACAGACTGTTCTACTAAGGGTACACGAGCTAAGATTAGGGTTTCGTCTCCCACACAAAATATTTAAGTGAAACTAGAGGTGATATAGATCATTAAATTGTTATGCAAAAGTGGACGTATAAGGAAAGTAGTTAACTTCTTAGGATATAAAATATCTTAGATTTTTGAATTGCTAATTACCTATCTAAGAATTTGCTATGTATAACATATTCAATGTACTTCCCGATCATTGATCATTCCTTGCTGTTTCATAAGTGAATGTTTTCCATTCTTATCAGCATTTTTGTAGAACAAATGATGTTTAGACTTCAAGTTTGCGATTTAATTAACTTAAGAGTGAATTTTTCTAAAATGGAAAGACAATTACAAAGATAATTCAAATAAATAAAAATTCTCTTCGCGGAAATATATATCTTTATTGGCATTTCCTTCTTCCCGGATCACATAGTGTATTCAAATCTTCGGCTTACATTACCCCTTCGATTCCCTTAGATTGGCTGCTTCAGTTTAATTATTGGCGCATAATTAGCTGCTATAAACTGATTGGTTTCCCTATGACAAATGATGTGAAAGAGCCAACAGAAACAGAAGTCGGTCCGAGTGCTGGATGTGCGAGTTGATATTTGCATAAATATTACATATATTAATGCTAATGAGGCATCAAACGGCTGACGATTAAGGGCGAGTTGAGTGGCAGAAGCCAATGACCCACAGAGCGCAGCGGCGGAATAAAACGCTGGATTGATAGAATCTCGGATCTCTGAAGAAGGCCAAGATCAGAGACCGGCCCAAGTGCCGGCTGGTGTTGTGTTTTGGTGTCTGTTTTGGTGTTATAAAACATTTCATTACACGATACAATTGAGTGAACGCCTTGAACTTCCGCTTCAAGAAGTTCAGCGCAGTTCAGAGCGCCAAGCCAAACCAATGAAGTCAGAGTTGGCCAGCGGTTTTTGTTGTTTTGTGTAGTTATTGTTGTTCTTGTTGTTGTTAATATTATTTTTGCTGTTGCTGTTGTTGTTGGCGGTGAGGAGGTGGTGGGGGAGGCGTTGGAATGACAAGCCAAGACGAAGACGAAGCCTCGTCCGCAGTCATTTTGTGCTGAGTTGTATCTGTGTGTCTGAATCTTCATTTGTGTGGCTACACAGCCAGAAAAAAACAGTAAAAACATATAAGTAATTTGTGGTATTTCCTTAAAAATATACTTATAAGCGTTGTCACATAAAGAAACGTAAAGAAAACTGGTTTGAGCTTTATAATATAAAATTCAAGAATCTAATTGTTTTCTTAATTAAACAAGCAAACTATCTGCTCTTCAAAAATTTTTGAATAAATACAAATAGTAAAATGTTGTTGTATTAGTTTTTGACTTAAATTGATTTCTTCATTAGAATGTCAATCAATTTTAAATTTAAAAACTTGAATACCCTTGTTTATTTTATTTTTACTCAGAGTTATTCATCTTTTAGTTCGTTTTTTTCTTGTTCATAAAAATGGGTAATAACAATAACTAGGCAGTTAAAGTTTGACAAAGAAAAATAGCAATTGTATATCAGAAATTTAAATTCCACATACTCCAAGAGTTTTTAAAATGTGATTTGTCAATCGATTGATAAATGTTATTTTGATAGGAATAAAATAATTAGGAAAATGTGTCTGTGGAAATATGAACTATTATTCCCACATTTCTCTCGCTGTACATTTGTGTGAAGCCATGTTTCACACTTCAGAGGGCCTATCGGCGGCCGCAGCAGGCCAAACAAATTGTAAAGTCATAGGCAAGAGACGAGACCGAAAGCCAGTCCAAGAGCAAGGCGAAGACCAACTCGAAGACCAAGTCCAAGTCCAAGTCCAAGTCCATGACCAACTCCAGGTCCTCCTCGAGTGACTGCGGCGATGGAGGGAAGGCAGAGAATAAAGTTAAGCAGTACAAAAAGGCTTTTAATTTTAATTTGCATATGGCAGAACGCGCTCGAGCGGAGCTGCAGAACCCAGGGCAGAACCAAGTATCTGTAAGATACATATACATGCAATGCCAAGTAGGAGAATGAGAACAACTTTGGC